CAGCTCCGAGTGTTAGGTGAGAAACATTATACATTGTGGTGTTTCAGATAACCAGATTTGGGGCTGAAAGAAATGTCTCTCTAAAACCCATATCGAATGTGTTAGGACTAAAGCATTTTCCCCTCCATCTCTGCAGTGGCCCCTGAGGTGACCCTGTCTCCAAGCAAGAATAGGACTGCACTGTGCAAGGCAGCTGCAGGGAAGCCGGCTGCCCAGATCTCCTGGACCCCAGAGGGAGACTGTGTCCTTGAGCATGAATATTGGGGCAATGGCACAGTGACTGTCCAGAGTAGATGCCACTGGGCAGAGAGCAATGTGTCTATTGTGTCCTGCTCTGTCTCCCATGAGACTGGCAACCGGACTCAGTCCATAGAGCTGAATCAAGGTAAGTAATTCTAGTTTTGTGTTGGATTTTTCCACTTTCTGAGGAGTTATGGTAAGAAGGAAAAAGGAGTGTGCAGAGAATTTCACTCAAGGATGTTCTCTCCACTCTCTGTTTTATCTCCTCCTACAGCAAGTGAGAGGGATATCAAGAATAATAATACAGAAATTTGTTGTAAGAAGCCATACTTTAAAAGAATGATGTTTATTCTTTAATAATTAAAATAAAAAAGAACTTACCCTAGCTGATTTTGCTCAGTGGTTAGAGCACTGGCCCCAGGACTGAAGAGTTTTGGGTTCAATTCTGGCCAAGGGAGTGTACTTTGGTTGCAGGCTTAATCCCTTGCCCTGGTCAGAGCGGGAGAGGGAAGTAAGCAATGGATGTGTCTCTCTCACATCGATGTTTCTCTCTCTCTCTTTCTCTCTCCCCTTATACTCTCTCTGAAAAGCCATGGAAAAAATATCCTCGGGTGAGTATTAAAAAATAATAATAATAAAATTAAAAAATATAAAAGAATCCAATGTTCACTTCTATCTAGTAGTAAATTGGCTTGAGTAGTGTACTTTTATTTTATTTTATTTATTTATTTATTTACTTATTTATTTATTTATTTATTTTCTTTATCTTTATTGTTGAAAATATTACAGATGTCCCCTTTTTATCCCCATTGATCCCCTCCACCCCGCATCCATCCCACCCCCAGGCTTTCCCCATACCAATGTCTGTGTCTATGGGTTATGCTTATAAACATGTAAGTTCTTTGATTAATCTCTCTCCACCTCCTTCCCCCTCCCCACCTTCCCTCTGAGATCCCTCAGTCTATTCCATGTTTCTATGTCTCTGGATCCATTTTGTTCATCAGTTTATTTTGTTTATTATATTACATATATAAGTGAGATCCTGTGATATTTGTCTTTCTCTGACTGGCTTATTTCACTTAGCGTAATACTTTCTAGTTCCCTCCATGCTGTGCCAAAGGATAAAAGATCCTTCTTTTTTACAGCTGTGTAGTATTCCACAGTGTAAATGTGCCACAGCTTTTAAATGAATATCTATGGTTATAGTATAGGGGTAAAGAGCAATGTTAAATAAAAGCTTATACTTTTACTAGAAAGATAAAATCACCCATAAATTTTCTTCACAAAATTTTAGTCTGGTAGAATTTTCTTCAGGCTTTTTCTAGAATTTCTTAAACATATTATTACAACATCTATGATTAGTTCATCACTGTTCAGTTTCTCCACTCTCTCCTCCCAGCCTACTTCCATTTCTTGTTATTAAGAAATTAAATATTATTTTAACCTTCACACATAAAGTCAAATTGTTCTATAAGTCTTAAAATGAAAAGATGAAACCTTCCCCTAACTCTCCACCTCTACCTCTCCATGCTCACTCAGTTCTGTGGAAGCAAATACATTCAAGTTTTTAGGTGTTCTGATTTTTTTTTCTTCTAGTAATTGACTTTATCTTTCTAAATAATGTGTCCCTACTGATATTTCTTAAAATACCAAATTAAAATACCAAGTGGGAATTATGTGCCCACTTTCTTGTATGGTAAATGAAGATTTCACTTTACCTTTCTTCCCTCGTATTTTATAACATGAATTTATAGCAATTTTGGTTAAATTAAATAGCCATAGTTTACATTATTTTGAATATGTAACTTGTTAAGTGCTAAATCAAGAAATAAGCTCATACTTTGTTTTTTGATTCATTAGGTA